GTATGAGCTGGACTTGCCGTAGGTTCATGCAACCTAATAAGTCTCAACATGTTCCATAGTCTAAACTCCTGGTATCCCCCTTAATCAGCCCTATAGTGGTCCCCTGTATAATGACCCTTTATGGAGTCTAGACTCTGGCTCACATGTTCTTGGGCTTTCACGTCCGTGAGCCCCCACACCCCCGCGCGCTAGCCTTACTGGTGCCTAAAGGGGGAGTGGGGGAGTGGATCCCCAGAAAAATCCGTATAGAATCCTCATATATACCCCTACAATGGTACCTATACTCACCCCCCCCACTCCGCCTTCACCAAACACTAAGCACCTGTAGGTACCCTGGCCCTCCCGCCTGATCAAAAGTGAGCCAGGGCTTGAGTTCCTCTGAATCATAGCCAGGCCCAGAGACCTGAACCTGGGAACATCTGGGACATTCTTGGGTTTATATGGTGGTTATGGCCATTGTTGGGCTTATATGGTGGTTATGGACATTGTTGGGCTTATATGGTGGTTATGGACATTGTTGGGCTTATATGGGGGTTATATGGGGATATATAACACCGATAATGGAAAGTCTAAATGGAAAAGAACATGGAACATGACATGGAAACTGTGAGTATATGATGGTTTAGGGTTTCCCGAAAATAGGGGGACCATTCTGGGGGTCCCTATCATAAGGACTATAGTATTTCTAGTTTCCATATTGGGTCCCCCCATTTAGGGAAACTACCAATATACTAGAACATTGCTAACGGTCGCAAGGTTCAGGGGTGTGGATGTTGTGTTTCTGGAGGCAGGCCATAGATTGGTGTTGGGTGCTCTTCATCATCCCGAACCTATGCATTAAACCCAAATGCTGAATCACACGCTCCGTTCTGAAGCTGGCACACTAAAACTTCACCCGAATACTTGAAAAGCACATCACCAACATTAGATACTATCATAGAATATATCACAATGTGGATTATATACATATATATATGTATATATATATGTTAGGGTGGTGGTGGGGGTGGGGGGGGGGTGTTAATCGTGTTACACAGCCCAGACACTGCTTTCAGCGCATCCAGGGAGAGCCTTGGCTCTTCACAGATGAAGGATTAACAAAATTCAGAAGTATGGAGGTAGCTTCAGGGGCCCAAGGCCCTAGGTTTATGCAGAGACTATGGACTGTAAAGGAAGTAGCTGGAGAGTAGTTCTCCGGACTTTGCAGGTACAGCTTTGAGAAAGAGACGCATTCTAACGAGGCTTTTTCACCGTGTAAACATTTGACATGGGGAGTTCTGCTTTATGATTGTGCTGTCGGCACGAGGAAAATCTGCATCTCGCTACTCTTCCTCTTGGCGACGCTGTCGCACTTGCCCACTTGGGACCCAAAGCGACCCTGAACATTCCAACTTTCTTCCCTACATCAATACTACTAAGAGTAGTCGTACTCTAATTATTGCTACTACTGTTTTTGTTACTACTATTGTTGTTATTACTATTCTACCCTATAAACTACAAACCTCTGCAAAAGTAGCGGTCGAGGAGCGCCTCCCCGGCGTCGATTTTGTTGGACATCTCTGTGCTCGCTGCCTCATCGGCCTTGGCCTCCTTGGCCTGGCGCCGTCGCGCGGCACCGCTGGTTTTGCTGCGCTTGGGAGCTGGGGCTTCCTCAGCTGCAGCTGAGCTGGTTGTTTGGAGGGGGGTGGGGGTAGGGATAGGGGTAGAAGAGACTTCAGGCTCTTCTTCATGCGCTTGGGCAGGCCTGTGCTTTCGTTTCTTCGTTTTTGGGTGGAGCTGGCCGTTGGTCCCTGCACTGGGAGCTTCCGCAGGCTTGGCAGCCTTGGTGCTGGGCACATTGGGCGGCTTTCGGGCTCGCCGGCGCCCTCCGAATACTGCAGCCAACATCTCTCACCATCGCATGGGCATCTTGTTCTCTGGGGTCAAGACATGGTAAGATGCCACTGCTTGATGAGCAACTTCAACAAAGCTCTGGGGCAGTTGCGCAACACGCTGTTGCTCTGTACTATCAATCTGCAATCCTTCATCGTGAAGTCATGACAAAGACTCTCAGCCGCTTGGCATGCAGTGGAGTTATGCACATGCTGCGCCACAACAACCCTGCTTGAGAAGCACGGCAATCGCACCAGATGCAAATTGCTTGGGTGGCGAAATCTAGGGCAGCCACCACCTTCTGCGGAACAAGCTTTAAAGGAATCACACTTCCTCTCCCAGACCGTCCAGAGCTTAACCTGATACCCCCAAAAGGAGGTCTACTTACCCAAGTACAGGCGACATCAAAAATCCGTGCATGGTGCCACAGACCCTCTGATCTTACTCAAACATGCTGGTGCTCGTAAGCCCTAACCCTTACAAGAAGCGTATGAATTAAAAAAAACTAGCTTGCTTGCAAAGGGTTGAAAAGAATTGGACGCCAACCCAAAGAAGCTTGCTCCTTTCAACCCGTGCTTGCCTGCACCCAGATGTACATTACAAATCCTGCTGACACCACTGGCTGCAATCACTCGTCCGTTGACAACAAGGACGGTGCGTACGAAACAGCAAAGAGTGCAACGATGTGATCGCGTTCGGAAGCAATAAGTGCTTCCGGCACCAAGATCTGGGTGAAGTGGAAAAATGGACCACTACTAGCAATTCAAACGGGGGACCGTTGCACTAGTGAGGAAAGGGGCACGCCACAGCAACGTGTAGCAATGCTGAGTTATAATATACTGACCGCACCGATGACGTTGATTCAGTTGCTGAGGCATAGTTACAAATGATCATCTTGTCATCTTGGAGTATCCTTCCTAACATGGAATTGCAGGCGGTCCCCATAAAAAGGACTGCAGTCTTTGTAAGGCCCCTTTGAAATAGAAGACATCACCCTGAACGGCTGAGCTGCCAGACGAGCAATGGCTCACCCTGCTCGCTATGCCGTTGCGCGAGGACAGCAGCCACATCCTTGGGAGACATCCAGGATTATCAATGGGATTATATCGCGACAATTTATAGGGATAATGGAAAAGGAACTGGAAACTACTATTTCGGGTTTAGGGTTTATGCGGATGGGGTTGCAGCTTTCGGGCTTGAAGCATAAGGTGTTCAGTTGCAGGGCTGGGCGGATTCTTTGGGTCCGAGGTCTTGTTCGTGCCTGCTTGGGCATGGAGCAAACATGAATTGCAGCCATGCGGTAAATTACAACCCCCTGCTCAAGATTCTTGCAGCGATTAGGCGCAGGCCATCAAACATGTGCCCTCTGCCTCCCAGCCCTCCAAACCCTTGGCCCTCAACCTGAAACCCTGCCCGCAGGTCCTCCAAACGGCCCCTGGCATCCTGCACTTCACAAGCAGTTGACTTTATCTCTGCAGAGTGCAGTCTTTCAGGCGCACCAGCTTGTTTTGGGGCACTTGGAGGATGCATGATCAATGGGATATGAGAATAAGGCGCAGCTAGCTGACACGCTTACATGGACAAGAATATCGGGGGAATGCACAGGGGTCCTCAGTCGAGGGTGTCTGAAATCTTGAAGGACGACAAGCTCCTAGATTGAGATACAGCCAGCTGGCGCGCTGTTGTGTTGATCATGGTTGAGAATATCTACCCAAGGCTCAGTGTCGCTCCGATCCTCGCTCTGCATTTACCCTTTACAGCGTGCGCTGCGGCGGATGGCTCATGGGCTCAAGCACGCTATGCTCGAGACCCTGCTTCCCGGATTCACGAAGGGAAGCCGTAAGCGTCATGTCGCTGTGCTGGCGGAAACGATGAAAACCAAGAGCAATCCTGTACAAAATTCGAAGAGGCTGCAAAGTCCTGCCTTTAGCCAGATTTCAAATGCGAACAGTGCTTCTTTTAATCACAAAATATCACAAATAAAAACATGTTGAACCACATGCAAAAATCTGTAGAACCCAATGCCATCTTTCTACAGCCCCATAGACTGTGCCCAAAAGTATACCCGCTCGTATGACAAGACCACCATCCGCACTCCTCAGACGGAGGAGGGGGAGGAGGTGGCTGACCTGAAGTCTGAATGTAGAGTGATGGGGCTTCAGTGATCAGAGTGGAACCATGAATGGCAGCTAAAGCAGGGAAGCTGTTGAGGGTACTCATTCTTATGATCCTCGTGGTATTTGGTTGTCTCTGGCATTTTGCCAGCTTCAGGGCACTCAACACGTCTCCTATAAGGCTTTGCTAGGAATACAGGCACCCTGAGGACTCTACCTCGTTCAGCATAGCTGTCTCCCTGTTTTCTAGATACCCATATAGGGGTATAATATAGGGATAATATAGGGATAATGGAAAAGAAAATGGAAACTACTATAGTATGTTGGGGAATATTGGGTAATTGAAAATAAATGGAAACTACTATCTAAGCCTAAACCTCAAGCCCGAGACGATTCCCCAGATCTGGGAAGTTCGAGGCGAGGGCTACCTTGCCCAGAGGCTGGAAATAGCCGATCGCAGTCTGCTTTGGCAACCTTAGACGTCGGTGTTTACCGTTTAGGATTGTCTGTGGGGTGTAGGATATGGGAGTATCCCAAGACTAGGGGTACCATTTTGGGGGTCCCTACAATAAGGATTTTGAATTATATTGCGGGTCTATATTGGGGTCCAGCTATTTAGCGAAACTACCATATTCAGAATCTTCGAAGATTTGCTGCTCAGACTGAAAGCCTTCCATCCCCTCCAGCAGTACAAACTACTCATAGAGGCCACCGGCCCGGAAGATTTCCTGATAGCCTCATTGGGCACCGCTGCATGACCCTACCCTTGTGGCGGGACCTTGCGTATGGGACTTCCAAGTCGGGAACAGGATTGTACCTTCATGAAAACAGGCTGAATTGCCAACTTGCAAGGACATATTGAACCTTTTGAAGGTTTCACGAGGCATCATGTCATCACCAGTGTCACACGTGACTTACAAATCATAGCACCGTCTGCAACCTGAAAAGAAGCAAGTCAGGCCAAGCTGGACAAATCTCAACCAAGAAAGCCTCCGCTGGCCCTGAGAGCGGCGCGACAAAGGCGTGATCCAGCTCGCTTCTATCTATGTACTGATCCACCTGCCACTGGCCAAGGATTCGGATGTAGATGTTGCCCGTGAGGGTTTTGGCTAGCTGCACTCTGGACGTCAGCCAGCCCATAGGATTGCGAACATGTGATTTCTGACTGAGCTCTACTTGACACAGTCGCCTTTGTTTGAACTGAAGCTTTCGTCTCGGCATGCAAAAACACATGCTGCATCATGAATGCTTGAAGGTTCATGGGACTTAGTAACTACTTTTAATTGGGCTTATAACCCTACTTATAACACCCCTAAATGGCCTTATAGGGGTTACCCCAATTATAATTAGGGTTATAACCCCAGTTATAAATGTTACTAAGTCCCATGAACCTCCAAGTGTGGTTAGAGGTGCCCTTCACAGGACCCGAGCTTCATTAAGCCTACGGAGGATACTAACAATCCTGCATGACGCTAAGTACCTAACACCTTGAGAATTATAATTATGGTATAATAAGGTCATGCAAAATCGTCGTATCAACAGTCGATCTCTCATCTCCTAAGGTATGAAGCAAATAAGTGATGATCTTTATCTTACTGGTGGTTAGCAGGCAAGAAGGGAATATAATATGGGGATTATAGGGATTATATCCCCTTATTCCACACTAACCACCAGTAAGACATGGTGGCTTCTCAAATTGGGGGGAATCTATCTGTGGGGAGCCTACAAATAAAAGGGGACCACCGACGCGGATCAGGTTTAGGGTTTAAAATCTCCCTTCAGTATATAGAATGCGGCTTTGGGTTTTCTATAATGAGATCCCATATACCCCATATTCTATCTACTGGACTATATAGGTTAAGTGGACCCAACAGTCCAATTTCAGGCTTCCATCCACCCATCCACAGGGACTGTTCTGAGAAAGTGCCATTCTTGCAGGCCACAGCCAAAACTCCTGCACCACAGAAGCCCTAAACCCTAAACCGTATACCCCCCAACCCTACACCATAATCCCATAGTCTAAACGCGAAAAAAAGAAGGGTCCACAACTGGAGCTGCGGGCCGAAGCTGGGGGTAATCCCTTCATACCTAACATGAAACACCCCCCCCCCCCTATCTTGCGCTAAGTCCAGAGGATCTCATGTCCGAATACTTACTATTAGGGGTGATTAAGAAGAGGTATATATTGTTACCCTACACCCTACATCCTCAATAATGCAATAGCTTGCAGTTTTCTTTTCCTTTCCACTATATACCCCAATCCGACCCCTTTCTTAAGGGCTATTTCTGATCAGTATGCGGGGACTAATCCGGTCACGCTGAGCCCGCAGCCAGCTTCGCAGATCGACCAGCAGATATCATGAAAGGTGCTGCCTGGTGGAATCTGAGATTTTTTGCATGGGTCAAGGCTTTTAGGGCTTCGGTCTAGAGATCTCAAGAGTGTTGGGAACTTACAAGGTTTACGTAGGGCATGGCAGCATCGAAGTGGGGCCTTTGTACATTCGCGTTGGTGCTTAGTAGGGAATGTGCGAATTTGACTCCTATATAATCCCTATATAATATTCCGTTACTCCCTACTAAATCCCCACAAAGTATTTGTGGGTGTTGATATTGAGCTATGGCCTGCTTGAGGGATGGGCTACCACCAAACCCTAAAGCCTAAATACAAAAGCCGAAACCGTAGAGCCTGATCCCTAAACCCTGATGCTATCGTTGGCTGTTCATGTTGAAGTCTCTGTGTACTTGTACATGCCCTGCTTGACTCGCGCGTTTGGGACCTCGATTGTCTCCATTGGAACAAGACAGTTAACACATGCTTCAAGCCCAGACTTAGCATATGAGGCTTAATGTGTTGGACGCTTGTTTTAGGTTTGGGATTTAAGGTGTGCAGTTTCAGCTAAAAGCGCAAGCATTGAGCTCCGTAATCTATCTTTCCAGCATGAAGGTTGACTTAGGAGAATATGGCAGTGTCATCCATGGCTCAGCCCCAATCGATGCTGCGTTCATTCACAAGCTCGTCCTTCCTCCACTCACCTGTATTGCTTCAGGCTTTAAACATGGTGCTACCTGCAGCGCAAGCTTGCAAGCAACACTTCATTTGGGTAGTCTTTCGTTGGACCTCACATTGGCGGGGGGGATTCAGTTCTTACTTAGGGCTGCTTGAACCCTATTGTCAGCCGGAGGATTGCATGGCTGCATCGCAACCTCCTCGATGTCGCTCGCCGCGCTCAAGGTCTCAACATACTCTGCGCACAGCTCCTCCAGCAAGTTCTATGCGGCTCAAAGCGAAGGCTTCGCCTGGGGCTTAGAGTCTGTATGGGGTTCAGTCCTGCAACCCGCGCAGATGTTGATATCATAGCTGACTGTCTGTCTTACATCCAATGACCCCCTACGTGGGCTGAGCACTGACTTTGAGTCATTTGAGCTAGCAGGCGCCAGGCTTCTCAAAGCGCTACTGTTACATATACCCGTACTCAATCTGCACAAGCCACCCGTGTAGTCTCTGAATGCTAATGATCCCCTGCCCTTAATATCCACCATGAGAAACTTCACATGTTGGGGCGCACATGTGATGTTAGGGGGGGATGACTAGCTTTTATTGCGGCTGCTCAGCAAGATCTGCGCAGGTCCTGCCAGAACTTGTGGCTGACCTGATCTGGGAATCTCCATAGCTGGCTGGGTCTGGGAGTTCCTCTACATATTTTCAGCTCCAAGTAGGGTGCGGGGCCTTGTAACGAAGGCCACCAGACCATTCCCGCATATCTCTTCTTGCAACAGCCAAAACAGTCTGCAACAAGAAAGCTTTCGCTTTGCTGGGTCCTCTGAACCCGAAACCATAAACCTCAATATAACCCCAATATATCCCGATTCTAGTAGTATACCATCTACTACGATAATACGGTATATAACCCATCTTTGAAAAGAACAGCCTGGAGATGAAGCAAGCTGAGCTTCGAGCAGCGGGCGCAATGCAAATTGCCCTCTCCCAATGGCCGGCCTGTGATTAAGGAAGCCTAAGGGTCACTCCATATGGGAGGCTGTACACTTCTTGCGCTGTTTTGGATCCCCTTCAGATCATGCCAGTTGATTTTAGAGGATATTCCTTAAACATGGAACAGGAAATGCCCAAATATTGAGGCCCATCGTCAAGACGCCCGGTAAGAACCTATTCGCGTCTTGGGGATGCTCACGCTACCGAACATACTCAGGCGGCTCCTCAAGAAGCATATGAAGTCCCATCTCACACGGAGGGCATCATGTGAAGCAGAATAAACCCAAAAGCAAGCGCATGCAGGGCTCTCATGAAACCCCAGCCTTTGGCCCTACATGCTCCAAAGCATCCAGCCTCACTCCAAAGTTCGAATCCCCACACCCCAAAGCCGATACACTTTAGCAGGCAGCGGGGGATGCGGTACAGGGTTTAAAGGCCATTTTTGGAACGGCAAATCTGTATATCACATGAATTAATTCAGAACTAAACTCCTGAGGGAGCAGCCTTCTGCTCACACAGCAAAACAGCAATCCTAAGCCAGTGTAAGTACTGTGAACATGTGATTCCCCACACATTTAGGGTTCCTTGGGGACCCTAGGGATCTATAAGGATTATAAAGGCATGAATTATGCGGGGTCCTCAGGATCATAATGGATTACTTTGCTTCTGTTCTTGTAGTTGGTTTGTTCTATATTATTCTGCTTGCTCTTACCTCTCCCAAAGGGTCCATGTAGCTATATGGGGTATACTTGGGCATTAAAGTAGGTATATGGGAACCCCTTTGGGCCCTAAGTATGTACCATATACCTACATGGACCCTTTGGGTCTATCTTCCTGGTACCTAAAGTCACGTGCATTGGCCCTCGGAGCAACCACCTGGCCTGCGCAGTGAAGCGGCAATACGACCGGATGTCACCCACGCGGAGCATAATTTGAGCAGCCTCCATGTCTGAATCCCGTTAATCATGGAGGAGGCCTTTAGACATGAATGCGGGGAGCTTCAAAAATTGGGGGGGAGGCTGCGTCAATACGGAAAAGTTCTGATTATAGGTCCCTCGCCAAAAAACGAGAACTCCCCGATGTTTGGAAGCCTCCATTTAATCTTTCATCCAGTATCTGGAGCTGGTGACTTCATGCATTCGCTCAAAGGGTCCATGTAGCTACATAGTGTATACTTAGGGTTCAAAGGGGTTCCCATCTAACTACTTTAGTGCCCAACTATATACACATACATAGAACATGGACCTTTTCGACAGTTTCTGGGCAAATGGCAAGTTACAATCCACCTGCAGGCCTACAGTAGCCCCAGTTGGTCATGTTTGTCCATCTATGGAAGAACCTTCGTAAGGGACTATTGAAGGCACATCTTGCGTCCAAATCCTCTCGGCTGTTGCCAGCGCAGCACAAGACGTCCACATCTACACCCTCATCAACAATCCTCCCAAACTTCATTTGTTGCTGAATTCGGGCTTTGCCAAATTCCAGAATCTCTAGTTATGGTAATCCCGAAGCGCTAGATGCCAGAAACTGATAGTAAGCCTTGGGCACGTTCGGCCTTAATCTGGGTTGCTGTTCAAGAACTTAAATTAAGTTACCATAATGGGTATATAT